TAATTATCAACACACATATTTATTGCACATATGAAAGTGATATTGTAACATAAATCTTCGCATATTGCCGCAAAATTTAATATTTATTTTATATTGAACATGAAGAATTTCAACGAGCATCAAGAAACAAAATTCTTACAAAAATGTTTCAATGAATTTTTATCATTCAGCGATTCGTCGAATAATGTATATTATTTCGCAATTTCTACAATCAATCAAATTATTTTATAAATTTAAGAGATATTGACTCTTTTTTAGGAACAAATTAATTTCAAATCGTAAGCTGTTATATGTAATCAGTCGCGAATTGACATCTTAAATGTCTCACTCTACATAAATCTTTTGTTAATCGCCTCAACGCTAAGCGATAATTAAATTATTATTAAGATGCGAAATTTGCACGAAATGTTTCTTTTAAAATTTTTAAGTTTAATTGACTCTTTTGTATCTCGAGTATTCGTGGATGGTAAAGCAGCATTCCAAAAAAGAATTTAGTGATCTAACGTGAAAAACAAAGTGTAGCAATATTAGGATGTATATATAAGGAACAATGTATATAATAACTATACAAAACTGTTATGGAGGATGCTCGTTAATCGATCTTTCGTGAGATAGAAATCGTAACGCAAGTTAGACCAATTGTGGCACTCGAAAGTATTTGACGTTCCTCTCAATGTTTTGCTAAATCTGTCAAAATTATGCAACATTCCTTATCATCCAATCTATCTTCTACGACAAAGTAAAATTATTGGCTGTTATTGCGTTCCGACAGTATTTCTGGGAACGCCGTGTGCGCGCGCGCGTGTGTGTAATGCGTGTGTGCGTGCGTGCGTGCGTGCAAAATTCGCAAGTATTATAAAAGCTTATCTTCCAATAAAATAACGAGAGAAAGCGAGAGAGAGAGGGAGGGATGAGAGCACAGAATGCAATACTATCATCGCATAACTAACAGTATGATATTATTGCAGGTCAATATTAATTTTACATCCAAGAAAAATCATATACATTTCTATTTTCATGTACATACATTCTCAAATTTGTCTGTTCAGCTCTACTTGCGAAACAAAGAATTACATTGCGAAATATCTATATGGATAATTGACAATTTCTTAAAAAAAAAAAAATGATCATAATATTTTTACATTAAACTTTTTGCGTAAATAAAGCATTTCATTTTCTTTAGAGAAGAACTCTGCAATTAATCTCTAACGACTTCAATACATTGCTTTCCTTAGAGAAAGTCGTAGAGGAAATACATTTTCGTCTTATTTATCTTATTTTCTTTTTTATTTACATTTTTTTTTCGTTTGTATGCTTCGATCTCTGATATTCTGGCCTTTATCATTCCTTCACTTAGGATAGTGATAATATTAAGCAGCTTGTTACACGCTGTCGTGCGACTTTTACTCGTGCTCATAACGAATTTCCACTTTCGAGCCGTTGTACATATAATTGTCGCATGAGCGAGATTCCAGCGTTTGTATTCTTAATTTTTAGTTTTTAATCAGCCATATCGAGCCGGTCGAGGTCGAGTCGACATTATGACTGCATTCGGAAACATTGCTCAGATGCATCCGTTGCTTCAGATTCATCATCTATCCTTGTTTAATATTAAACAGAGAGAAATGATAAATTCAAGGCATCGGAGGCATCCGAGCAACATTTCCGAACGCAGCCTATGAATAGCAATTAATTTTGCAGAGAAAAAGGGTCATTCAAAATGCGTCATTCAAATCACGTTGAGCCTAAACTCGTTAATCAAACAAATATATTAATAGACGAGAGAAAGCGAGAGGGAGAGAAAGAAAAAGAGAGAAAAAGAAAGAGACAAATGATGAAGACTCCCTTATTGTTGTGTATAGCGAGCGTGTTGCACTATTTTGTAAAACTGTTTTCATAATCTCGTATGGAAGAAACAGACGAGCGGCGATATCAGCCGTTTAATTAGTCGCCAAAAGCGACCAAGAGCGACTCGATACATCACGAGAATGTTATTAATATTACTGTATTTTACTTATAGTATACCTATTGTAATTTCACAAAGTACAGTATATTTTTTAATTATTGTATCATGTAATGTTATTAGTTAAATACGATATTTAGCGGAAAAATATATGTCAGCTGTATTCAACACTTGATGCTTCTTTCGCCTTTGTTTATATATTATAGTATGCCTTTATTATTTATTTCTATATTGATGGAACATGTTAAAGCTTTTTCGTACTCGTGCTTTTCCTACTGCAGCGATCCTGAATTATGTCAAAAGCGAAAAAATATATAAAGAGAATTCTTGCAGAATACAATAAAATGTAAATATTTTTTAATAAAGCAGTATTGTTTTCTTAAAAAATATTTATATTTTAATTTTTATTTAAAAATATTTATATTTTAGCAGTTTGTAATCGATAGATTTGTAAACTGTATTTGTAAAATATTCCTTTTTATTAAGATCAAAGCCATTGGGAATTGTTCCTCTTATCTACATTCTCAAAAATAAAAAGACAAACAGTCTCCAATGGCCTTGACATTGACAAATTATTTAGATCATGACGAACAATATTGAAAAGGTTTTAACCGCCGATAGAGTTCTAAAGGTAGTATTCCAAACACGAAGTCAACTAAAAGTCAACTATAAGATGACTGGAGAAAGAGTCGACTTTAAAGTCAGCCTGAATGTCGACTAATAATCGACTGTAAGTCGACTAATAGTCGACTTTAAATCGACTGAAGAAGTCAAGCGTCGACTTTTTAGTCAAATCTGAATGTCGACTAATAGTTGACAAATGTCTCGAAAATACTCGACTATTATTAATAGCTAATCAAAATTGACAAATTATTGAATAGTCAATTTCTATATGGTTAATATTTCACTTCTTTGTTATTGGGCATTGATGATTGAAAGATATTTTATAGTTATCAATGCCCAATAAGTTAACACAGAAATGGAAACATTAACCATCTAGAAGATTATTCGGTAACTTATTGTCAATTTTATTTAGCTGGGAGGTCTTATTATAATAAATTTTATTTTCCAGAGAAGCACAATATCATGTAAATTCTTATTATCATATAAAACAACATAATAAGTTATATAGGAATGAACATTTTCAAAAATTTTATAATAAATATTTTAATACAATTATTAACGATAATATTGTTCTATAATAAATTATCCAAGCACGTTTTTGGAAATGTTCA